CAGGATTCAATTCCCGATCGAGCCAATGTATAAAATTAACTTTCCTATATTGTCTAGCGTCTGGATTTGTAGCTTCCTTGTTTCAGATTTCCACAACACAAGTGCCGACAGTTGTCTAATATTAATTTAAATTATTAACCGACTTTAAAAATTGAAGGGCTATCTTTAACAAATCTTAATGCCAGATAAAAAAGTCTATCTCCGACGCACCCTTGCATACCGTTCTGATATATATCTGTCAATGGAGCTCCTATAATGTGTTTAAAGCAGTAACATATCGTAATGAATGTCTCCCTATCGATGCTCTTATGTGGACGCTATAATTAACTCGGTAAGTTTTTTAACAGTCGCCACCGATGATGTATTTACAACGTATTTTGTTTTAATTAACTATTTTACTGTCATACTGAATGATGATTGTTTATCGTTTAAGTTTAGACACCTATGGAGTTTAAATATATTTTTATTGATTATCTTTTTTTTATATAATTTAAATTTAGAACATTATCTGTCAAAATGTGTATGTTGTGTTCAAAACGAACATGAGATGAATGTGGTATAAGTATTTGAATAAAGAACATAAATAAAATTTGACGCTGCTACGAGTATATGCAAAAATCCATTGACTACGATTACTGAAAAATTATAAATTTCAAACCCAGCACATAATAAAAAAAAAACGTACTATATTTAAAAATCGATAAGTAAAACTCAATATTTTTTAATTTTTATTAACCGCGTATTACAAAACACGTCACTCTGTGTTCTGTGGTAATCACGATTGAAAAAGTATTTGAAAGCTTGTACTATACGCCTGTTATTAGGGAATTACAAAAAAAAACATGTTTTTTTACATTTTTACATTAATAACCTGCATTTGAAAAAAGAACGAACGATCAATTCACACGCGACTCGATTCAATTCTATCGGAGATCGCTCTAATCGAGTGAAGCATTGACTTTCGTGATGGGTACGCATTAAGCCACTTTTTTGTCGATACTATGAATTGAAATTGTCAATTTCGTTGAGTTGATAATAATTTTTACGATCCAATTTAATTTTCGAAGGCGATAGTGAAATGTCGCCATAAATATTAAATTTAAGTTAATGAGGCCACTATATTAATGAGTACGTGGTGTTTCAACTTGTTCTTTGTTTGACTTTGTAAATGTTTACGAATACTGCCTGCGGAAACCGATCAATTAAACTTTTAAGTTGTCTCTGGATGTTTTTACAATAGATAACAACAACATCATGATGTTTAGATGGTAATTTATTTTTGTTAATGTACATACAATTTTACTGTAAAATTCTATTTCATGTTCTGCAAACCAGTTTTTCGTATATAATAAACACGATTAAATAAATTATATTGACTTTTTCAATCAAAAGCAGCCGTTATTACGGATATTGCAACATAACCCAACAATCAAAGTCCAGTCTAAAATCAACGGGAGCTAACAAACCGCTCACATTCGACAAAGAAAAAGCTAATACGACTAAAAAACCACCAATCAAAGAACGGCAATGAAATAATCGAATTGCCGATCACCGAGTTCTGCTCAAAGGGCACAAACGAAGAACCGCAACAGATTTGGAATATCGGAATTGAGAAAAAAGACAATCGAATGACTAATATCTCCCACAAGCACAAAGTTCGTGTCGATAACGTGTCTATGGCAACAAAAAGAGTAAGAAAACGCGAGGGAAGGAATTTAAAAATCGAACACGATGAATTCGAATTTGGAAATTCATATTAGTTCACATCATAACTTCGTAAGCTGCGATAATTTGCGGCTAGTGGGTAATAAAATCGTGTAGATAGATTTAATAGATAACATTTTTATTACTTTTTAAAATGTAATTTAGGATAAAAATAATGTGTCATTTTTATTATCATGCATAATAAACAGGTTAAAAAATCAAAATATGTAATGATGACTAAAGTCATCGATTGAAACAAAACCAAAGAACTTTTCTGTCACGAAACCTTTTTTCCGATGCACGATAGATTTTTACTGCTGTTCGGTATCGGCGTTTATTTTGTCGTAAGTTTGTTATTTACGAAATAAAACCTTATTCAACATCGAACCTTATTCTTAGGAAACAAAGACCACTTACTGGTGATGAAGAATTTGTAACGCAACATTGTTATTCGATGTTCTAAAAAGTTTTAATTCAGGCAGCGTGTGAGGGTAATCTTACAGTTTAGTTATATTTATGACAGTGATAAAACTGTTTGCGGCGATGTACGGTTGGCTTCTAGCACCTGTCACTATTTTTTAAATTTACGGTCGAAATTTTATCGATAATATATTCGGTCGATAAGTAAATCATTTTAAGGTCGTTAAATTTATTTCAGAAATATTACAGCGTCTTTTATTCGACTTCTGTTTTTTAATTTATTACAGTTAGTCCAAAATAATGAGGGCTTTGCACCAAATTTCGTACAGAATGCAGATTTCAATTGCCCGCCGCTTTCGAGTCAATAGACATGGCGTTATTCAAACCACTTAACAACACGACAAATTTACAATTCTAATTCCCGTGTAATTTCCTACGATTTATATTTTATTTTGAAACGTAGACATATATTCGGATTGCCGAAAAATAAAGTTGTTAAGGAGACCGTTAATAGAACGGGCGACGCGCACGCGACCGCTTCCGCGCTGATCACTATCAATGGCAAACTTAAAACTACCGATTGACAAGTCGCGGTGACTTCAAAGCGATCCTTAATGCGATCGTAATTAAGGCCAATGTTCTATGACAAACACAGTACATGAAGCAAATTTTGTTATGTCGTCAACCCTAAGACGTTCGATTTTTGAACTGCCCTCTTTTTAAAATTGTTCCATTTGCCTGTTTGAAAGTTCGATTTTCAAATTGTAATAGATGTTTACGATAAAACATAAAATCTACAAGAAGTTACTTCCCTAATTTTATTCACGCTTTCTTCTTTCCTTTCTTATAATTAGTTACAACTTATTTAATATTGTTATTTGTAGGTTAACCTTTTCCTTATCTAACCTTAACATAATTAACTCATATTAAACATGTTGTTTCTTTATAAAAATTCAACTTTAACTTATGTCGATACTATATGATCAATTTTGTATTCACAATGCTATACTGAAAAAAAATCCGCTTTGTACCTGGCACTCTAACCCTTCACCCAGCTATCCAGAATCTAAAAGGACTGACGAATTTTTAATTTTGCCTAATTGCTTGAACATTAATGAAAATACGCTCTATAGTAGAGATAAAGTAACAAGTGCTTGAAAAATCCGGATTGCGAAAGGTCATGGGTTTGCGTCCCATCTCAGAGTGCCAGGGACAAAATGGATTTTAAAACATTTTTCATTAAGAATATTATACATAGTTATATTTACTAAATTAAACGCTTTATTTTATGAGATAAAGCATTTTTATTTGATAGTTTTTTTTGTCGTATCAATGCGTTAATAAGTCCACTCGTCCGCTTATCCGTCAAATCTACCCTCAGTTAATGAATATTAACATGACCGAACAGTTGCGTTAAATGACTCGGACGAATAATTCTAGTATGTATGACTCATTTACGATCAAATTTCATTTAGTTAAAGGAAATGGGATATAGTTAAGCGGTGTTTTCTGTTTGAAAATAATTGAATATTCACTAATTAATTCAGATAGATTGACTTAAGAAAGTTGTCAAGCGTTATGAAAATACAATGCTTCAAATTGAAATAATTTTAAAAAGGTCAGTTTAATGCAATCTCATGATTTAATGCTTCCAAATTCAAATGTTTATGAAGGTACATAGTCTAATTGCAATCGAACTTTATCAAACTCCAGTAGTGGAGGGACGATATCGATATCGACATCGATCGGCACGTTCGTGCGGCAGTGTAATCCTGTTTGCATATCGCCGCACGAAACTCCCGCACTTATCATGTTTATTGATTGACACGCCAGTAATTCACAGTTGAACCCTGCCGTCCGCCACCTTGGAAGTGACGAGCATGTTATAAGCGACGGCGGAAATGTATAGCGTACACATTTAAGTCGGAATACAATGCATTTAAATTCAAAAACACTTTCATCTTTAAGCTAGCGTCCTGGTTCAGGTGGTGGTCGAGGAAGAATATGAACATATCTATATTATATATTTAAAATAATATTGGTTAAACACCAATTTCGAATTCCGTAATTTAAAATTAAATCAAAGATGATTCAAAACTTTGCAAGAAAATGCTGAATACTATCAATATCTACTATTGAAATATATAATATTAAACGAAACATACATGTAAAATAATTAATTCATCAATGTATTTGTGAAAGCTTGACAAAATAGTTTGATATAAAACGGAAACTTGTTCTGATCGCTTCCGCCTGTGCTTTGTAGTAGTGCTTTAAATTTACAAGTCGTGGTTTACGGCTCTTTGTTTTAGGTGGTGATAAGTTAGTTTTTAGGTGTTCCACGGTTGTACACCACTGTACCACCTAGAATTGTTTCGGTTGTTTACTATCCTCGGTTTAAATTGCTGACGGCATTTTTGATCGAGATCAAACGAAAGATAGAATAAATATTAAAATTCTTTATTTTAATACAACAATATAACATTACTATTATTGTGTCTGTAATATTATTTTTGTTAATATTTATTGATCCTAAAATAAATACTTTGAAAAGTATCGTTTAATTCAACGGCAAACATAAATAAGATAAATAATAAAAGGTGATTTTACGAACTTATAATTTTGCCCCTCAACCACAAACTGCTACCACCGTTAACAATTTATTGCCTTTTCATTGTGTTACTGAAAACACAAAACTAGTATTTAATCGGCACGAACCTGTCAATTTACTTTTTTCTTTCACCTATCGGAGTGAGCATCGAACCTGGCATAACCAAATTAGTTTCGACACGAAAACGCAAATGGCCGATTGTCTACCTCACAATGGAATCGATGGAAAAACTTCCCCTTTCCAATACTCTTTTTTTCTGTTCCAGGTCGAAGGGGCGCAACACAATAAGAAACTGAAACGTAAAGAACAAACGCCGATAGCACGCGATTGAAAAGAACAATCGACTAACATCGATTATAAAACTTGAATTGAGCATCTCTAGTTTGTAAACTGTCAAGGTTTGAATTTAAAAATGAGGTGTTCGAATTTTGGGTCGTGCTTGATGGCGGGAGCGTGGGTGGGGATGAGTCGGGGCTGAGTCGTCGGGGCGTGCGGACGTCCGGATGCACCCGACGGGCGCGGCCAGTCTGCCCGCCGCACCTGAGGCGGAGGTGCAAGCTATGCACTCGATGGATTGGCTCTTCAAGAAAGAAAGGATATATCTACTCGCACAGTTCTGGCAACAGGTGGGTGTTGTTTAAAAAATGATGACCTACATTGACATCGCTGTGCCCATATAAAATGAGATACACACTTTAGACTAATCGAACCTATTAAAATAATAACTGTATCCAACAGTATTGAATACAATTGTCCTCTTTGACCCTCTATAACAATACTAATATCAGATAATGCAACCGAATCAATTAATAGTTCCGCGTTACACCGGCAATTAACCCACGCGGGTCAGGCCCGTTCGGCGACAAATATCTGTTCAACCTTTGTTTTGTATGCTAATAGTGACTTTGTGTCAGGATGATGTCTTATTAATATCGGATGAATACTGATATAAAAACAGCTGAGAAATAAAGGAATATATTACGGTAGATATAATATTGTAGTATACTTTTTGTAATTTTCACATAAAATACAAGAAAAATGCAATAATTATTATTGTTAGTTGATGGTTAATGTAATGTGAGCACTTTTTGTCATAACCTCACCAATTTTAAAAATCGACTATCTACACGGAGTTCTTTATTTAAATTTGAAATCATTTCGTGGATGTTTCGAAGTAGGAACCTCATTTATCGGAACCCGTGTATTTTCTATGTAGCCAGTAATTATTTGATTTAATTCATGGAAGATTATTGCCAGACAATTGTTTTATGCGTTAATATCAGACGCCGGTATCTGAAGGCCGATCGAGTCGAATGGCATTGTTTCAGCGACATAATACCCTGATGGATATCTGTTTGTTATTACTGCATTGTGAAGGACACAGGATGTTGCGAAATGAATTAGAAATATATATACTTCCTAAGTTGTTTACACGGTTTCCGCGTGCCGACAAACAAATCTGGATTATAAGCCTCTTATTAAGCGTTACATAAAGGTAGGAATTCTACACTGTACATTACATTCTTTCAATGTATATAATTCGAACTAAATGAAACCAAGCATCGATACTATTTTTATTGATACTCATTCTTAAAGCTAATACCGTGTGTATACGTTTGATTGGTGCGTATTCTAAAAATATTAAAAATTAATTAATTTCTGATATTAATCTTATCAAATCAAATATCTATCATACATAGCTTATCTGTGCTACAGGTGCTAGCTAAATCCATTTTCAACGTTTATGTATATGTGTATGTTCATAATATGAACCCTCTAACCGCAGATTATATCCTAAAACGATGAATTTCTTGACAATCGTTCTTGATAAACGATTAGATCTTCCTTAGCCTGACATGATATTTAATATATTTAAAACCACGTGGGAAGGTTTGCTTGCCAATGAGTTATTTATAGATTCTCAAGCATGAGACCCACAGTTGTATTTTTAATTAATACAGTAATAATACTATCATTTTCATTAAGAAACACCTATTAATATCGACCGTATAAAGTCAAACGACATTATCATTATAAAAAAATAACAAATTACAATCAATCGTAACGTGTAATCAACGAACGCCAATAATAGCATCATAGACAAGAATCGGTGATCTTATGACATTAGACACGTCAACTGTCAGTGTCAGCGGCGATAAGTCAATTATGGCGCGCATTGCATAAGCTAATGCCTTTAATATAGTGTAATGAATTCGATTTTCAATGAGAGACACGTAGAGTCGTCAATGTAGACAACCGATTAGTGATTTATTGACATCCGTATGATGCATTTGAAATTTAAAACGAAGGTTTGAACTTTTTGTCTATTAACATGTATCGAAACTTTTATCGATGTCTAAATATAGGTCGATAAACATCAATTAAACTAAAAAAAATGATATTTCACATTACTATAAAGACAAGTTTATTTGAATTGCTTCGGGAGGTACGCTAAATGGTTAGTCCCGACCACCCACCTTTCCGCACTGGGCCTGCGTGGTGAATTATAGACCCATTCACTCTATTCGATTCAGTTTCATTATACGAAAAGCCTGTGCCCCACCAGTGGGGACATTAGTAGCTTAGCGATATTAATTCATTGTCATAAGTAGTCACTATAAAAAACTACAAAAAGCTTCAATGTTCAATTATCAATTATCAACTTCAATTATGTGTTCATTATAACAAAATCAATCATTATAACCGGATCGCTACCATAATATATATTCAGAAATTCGTTAAAATACAAATCATACGTCCGCCAGTGAACAGCAATTATTAAAAAGTAATTTACGACGTTTAAGAATTGTGTATAAATACAATGTAGGTAATAAATGTTGCACTTATATGCATAAAAGTTTATGCTAAGAAATTAAATGAGCGTCCTTGCAATTTCTAATCGATAACCGCAATTCACCGCACGGCATATGTAAATTCGAAATGTAAATATGCTTTTTAATCAATGTAAGGACTTCGCATGCTAGAACAAACAATACTATCGGGATGCAGAATTCAAATGTGTTTAATATCTCAAGAAGGATCGCCACTTCGGTTCCTTGTGGGATGAATATTTATTTCATGTCGTGGCTTAATACTACTATTGTTCATAATTTGTCGTTTACGAGTTTCTTATCGAAACCAGAATAGGTTTCGAAGATGCATTTGCAAAGCAAATAATATATTTATTTCCATAACATCTTGTTTATGATTTATTTCAACCCTTTTTTAAATACACGTTTTAACATAACTGTTACTTTCGATATTTAATTGACTTAAATCTACATCACTATGAATCAAGTTATAAAAAAATCTATCATTTGACGAGGTCTAAGCAAAATCGAAAATACGTGATACGAATAGTTCTCTTTTGTTTGAGCTATTTTGAATTTCGAATCTCGTTCTCACTGCACTTCTAATTTTAAATTTATAATAGTTTCCGAGAAACGCACTCACTATGCGTTAGCAATTACTTTTGTTTATGTTATTTCTTTTTTATTGCTATAGAAATAATAATTAAAATGTCGATTCGAAAGATATACACAGTAAAAGTTAACAAATGCAATCCAAAAATATTATCTGAATCAACTGACAATTAGAATAATTTGCAACATAAAACCTCCGTTCTTTTAGGATTATGTGCGACAACATTTATTTATAACTAAACCCAACTTTATTTAAACGTAACTACTGTTTCTTACGATGTTTCTTTTTTATATAAATAACTGTCATAATGCGATCTCACTATCAAAACCAATAGTAATAAATGAACCATTAGCCACCCATCTCGAGGCAACCTTTAAAACTATATTTAACAACCACTTTTAAACCTTCAAAGAAACTGCTCAATAAACTAACAATTAACAACTATAAAATTCTGCATCAAGCCATTTTATTGTTTACTATAAAAAGACCGTTGAACACAAATCGAACGGTAAATCTAACAATCAATACAAAATTATAATCTTTTCTCAATCTTTATTTCTTAATAATTTAAAGACCAAGTAATTGCGTGATTATATTTTTCTTCCTGGCCAGTTTCAATAGAAAACTGCATCAATCCTGGATCTCTTTACAATAAAAATAGTTCGCCAATAATTTACAAAAGGTCTTCGAAATTCGATTTTAAATTTTCAAAGTTCGAACCTCCACCGTTAATTAGATCTGGATGTCACCGCAAACATTCAGATCTCGAGGTAATTAATCGACTCGATTCATCGGCGATCGTATCAGTGGTGGATCGTAAAAAAGCGCATTTCCCTACCGTTCCCTGACCGTCCGGGAATGCGATCGGTTCCCACAGCCTTGATGTCCCGAAGAATGTGTCCCTATTAGAGCAAAAAAATCGCGCGCTTTCCCATGCCACTGTCAATTCTGGGTCGAACTATAGTGACACCACGCGTCGGGACGTAGCCCTGAGCTAAAAGAAAACAAAAATGTCGCCACCGACTTCTTAGGAAGACTAAGTACGATTATTTTTGAATTTTTCACTCTGTAATTATCTTATTAGTGTGCAAAAAGCGAACAACACTTAGTCGAAAACCAAGAATTTAACTCCGGGCCGAGCGCCGTAACAAAAAAGTTTAACCTGTATTTAAAAATCGATTGCAACCAAAAAATTGTCACTGACAAATGATTCGAACGCCTTGCGGTTGGAAATTACGAATTCAAATCTTCAAATTTCGAACAAAAACCTCCATTAGCATTCGGTTGTTACCTTTTTTCCGCTGTCGATGATTTTTGGGCTAATCGTGTTTTTTGCCGATACGTTCGAGGCTAATCGATGTATCGGCCTCACTAATTCGATTTGCGCCCCTCCCTCTGCACTCATATGTGGGCGGGGACTATCGATCCGTTAGATAGATCATGACGTTAGATTAACTTTGAATCCACCATTTAATTGGTATCTTAATCGATATTAGATGAACATGATTTTGTAAAGTATTCTATAGTTGTAATAATAAGATTCTTATGCTATAGAAATTAAATAAAACTTTAAGTAACACAATGTCACACATCAAAGGATTGTTTAACAAATGATTTAGTTAAAATTCAGTGCACGCAGCCAAATGATACGATGCACTTATCTTCATGTCACTCGTTGGCTCAAATAGATATGTCGGCCACATACTTAAACAGTGTATGCTTACTTTTATTTCAGACTTTATATTTAAGAAAATAGGGCCTTTATAATTCTTTCCTAATCTCAAACTATATCTGTGTCATATTTAATAATAATTGATCCTGCGCTGTTTCAATGAAACAGACAAACAGTTTTTTTTGCATTAATGGATTGATTCAAACAAGAATTAATAATCCTCCAATCGACTATCAAATTGCATTGACATTTTTCTTTATACAATTCAGAGATTGTGCTATAATTATTATGTCAGTACATTGGCCTCCAGAGATATCTTCACGATTGATGAAATAAAAATATAAAGAATCGATTGTGGTTGATGGCTGGCCACACGAATCATCTGTGGAACACTCAAATCACCAGCACTGATGGTTTTTTAATGATATTTTTCACAATCGGCCCGATCATTGATGGTTATTAGGTATAGGCGAGTGCCTCGAGACATGAACAACAGTGTATCTTAACACTCGCTGACAGAATTACACGAAT